CATATTGTGTGAGTGTTGTCAGTGTGTGTGTTTGTGTGAGTGTTTGTCAGTGTGTGTGTGAGTGTTTGTCAGTGTGTGTGTGTGTGTTTGTCAGTGTGTGTTTGTCAGTGTGTGTGTTTGTCAGTGTGTGTGTGTGTGTGTGCGTGCGTGCATGCGTGCATGCGTGCATGTCTCCTTGTACTACTTCAGACTAATGCCAGTTTTACAGCGCTAGCCCACTGAGATACCGCATTCAGACACAGTAATCTTTGTTTTATCCCATTCAATGCCGAGCGCACAAGTACCATTTATAACATCGTTTGGTATGACATGGCCAGCGATCGAAGCACCAACCTCCATTCTCTCTTCCACAAGGAACAACATTACTTTCTTTGAAAAGCCAGATACAACTCACTCCAAGTCTCTAATCACAGGCATTAAACATGTTACATGGCGACTTACAGAGCAACTGAACCAACTAATACTAAGCAAGCTTGTATATATCAAGAAGAAGAGTCAAGAATGTTTATCGTACAGAACGCCCTCGTAGGGCAGGGTACAAACTATCTACATATGGACATAAATATAACTATCAACATGAGAGGTAGATATACATAATGTACATTATATATAGAGATATTACATATTATTTTCAGTTACAGTATATCATGGCAGCGTATACTAAGTGTTGATACTGTATTGATCATAGAATAGAATTCTTTCGTAGAAAAACACCCACTTGGGACCTGGTACCAAAATAGTGCACTTGTGTGGTACAGAGATGAGAACATGGTATATATATACACACACCATAGATGCATGAATTTATCTTATCACTCAGCAATATTCCAGCTATATGATGGTGGTCTGTAAATAATTGAGTCTGGACCAGACTATCCAGTGATTGACATCATGAGCATTGATTCACGCAATTGGGATCGATGACATGCATCAACCAAGTCAGCGAGCCTGACCACCCGATCCCGTTAGTCGCCTCTTACGACAAGCATAGTTGCCTTTTACAGCAAGTATTGGTTGCTGAAGACCTATTCTATCTTATCAAATTTGGGCCTCATGGTGGTCTCAGCTTAAACAAGTGAAATACAGTCCTGGTAACAAGACTTGACCATTCATGCATTCTTTTGGAGGGTTCATAAATTGTTTTAGGAGGTTGGTTTTATCAGTCTGGGAAGGGTCGCCTATTTTGAACAGTGTCATGAGAAGTCTTGTGCTGGGAGTGGAACACAAAACAATCTTTCTCTTTCAAATCTTTTTTCTTTAGACTTTTTGAAAAAACAGTTCCTTATATCATTTTTAGTCAAAGATACCAAAGTGTAGTTACATCAAATATTTTCTCCATCTACATCCTTTTCAACTTCAGTGTAGACGAAAAAGTTTATTGACTGTCAGCATACACCATGTTGATAATAAACAACACATGTAGCAAGACCTCTGCCAGTCTGGACGGATTCTCTTTAATGAAGGAAATAGTACACGGCCATCTGTCAGACTCCAGCAAGAACATCAATGATTGATGCTCACTAATACCAGTAATAGGCCTCTCACTCACAACCCTTTCCAGCAGCCAGAGTGCAACTGCTACAGAGTGTCAAATATTCATGTCACTGACTTGAGAAATCAATTATTCATACTCAGCACTCAACAATGAATTAAGAAGCTAAATTTGTCACTATGTTCTATATTCATGGTATAAAAATGAAGTGTGTTCTAAGATTTTATAAGTAATATTTTTTCAATGACCCATGAAAAAACCCAAATGATTCAATTTCTGAGAAATATTGGTCCCTCGGCGCTGCAGTTTGATTTGAATAACCAGTGGTCAACTGACCTGTGAATACATGGACCTAGTATCCACACTCTCCAACACAAGTGTTTCATACTTTTCAAAAATAGACAAAAAAGGTATTAATTCCGAGGTCAATGAACCTGAATCACAAATATCTGTGAAAACAATACGACTTGGACCCATGCTGTTCAGAAGTGGAGGGTCACTGTTCTCCCAAAACATACCCTTCTTTTTCACAGGTAAAGAGTTACAGGGATTCCAGGTAAGAATATAGGTCACCAGCCACCTATGCTTGTCCTAAAAGGTAACTAAATGGATCAGCTGGACTTTGTTGAATGCATGTCATCGCATCCCAATTACATGGATCAATGCTCATGATGTCAATCATGGGACTCAATTATTTACATACTTCCATCAAATAGCTGGAATATTGCTGAGTGGAGCATTAAACAAAATCTAACAACAAATTGGCCCATAAGTATTATGAAGCTCAACATTGAGCACCAGCTACTTTCCAGAGCTCCCAACACTTGTCAACACTCTAGAGTGCACCATAAAATGTGCCCTATCCATGTCCCACAACACCCCCCTGATACCAACATAAGTAATCTGTGTGTGCACCTGGCTACCTGTCAGCATGGCGAACCAGGAAGTAAGGGGTATAGAAAGCAATTGTGTGACACACACATACAGCTAAATAGCACTTGGCAGTTGAATGCAGCCTGTTGATTTACAATGATAGTTAATATTGATATGACCTTAACTTTTTCAATGGTTCGTCAACATGTGTGATTGTATCGCCTGTTCAATAAAGCAGTATGTGAATGCATGGTTGAGTGAATGTGGGTTCACTCCATGGTCTGCATAATCTCACAGCTATAGTCCCTTAAGGACACAGACAGCTCTATTTACTTACTACCAAACAAGCAAACAGAACACTTCAACTGTGTTTGATAAAAAAAAAACCATTTTATTTTTTTTTTAAATCTGATGTAAATGATTAATAAATGAATCGAAACAAAATATACAAAAGAAACCAGAAGATTGAACGGTGTTTGAAATTAAGCCTTAAAGAGGAAGGGCCCTCATTAAAACCCAAATGTCAAAATAATAAAATTTGCTGGCCCTTTGATTCAAATAACATAGGATCATCCCTTTTGGACCCCAGAACCCCGTTTTGAACAGTGTCAAAGATAACAATCTGATTGGAATGTTAAGAAAGTGTACTACGGTATATTCAATAATTCTAAAACAAAAGATCCTGGGGTGACTGGTCTTCAGAGTAAATGCCACACTAACACAGCCCAACTGCCACAACAGATGGTCCTCCACTATTTCAAACCACACAATTCAAGTTTCCTGTTTCTGAAATTATGCACCTCTCTTGTAAAAATCCCATTATTTTTTTGTTCCTGTTCAAATGTTTTCATAAGATAATTTAATCAAACAAGGATGTAAATGTAGCTTAAATTTTAAATGTACACTCAATACAATCCTTTCACTATCTACCAGTGTCTACAGCTGCGGTACAGGCTCGGTACAGGCTCAACATGGCCTTGTGCTGTTGCTAAATGTCACATTCTACCTGACAAACTGCCTAGTTCAGATTACACAGAAACCCCAGAGATACAGAAACAAGATAACTGGCACTGAATTAAACTGTCAGCCATGAAGGCACATCAAACATATTTCAGACCTGCCTCCTGAACTGGTGATATTGATTTCTGAAGTTGGCTACAAAGAGTTGCTGTATCAGGTGTCATAATTTCATTTTCCAAAGTCTGGTTTTGAAGATATCCTTATGAGCACAAGGGATTATTCAAACGTCAACATGTTCATATAATTCCACTTAAAGTCCATCTTGAATCCTGAACTGTAAAGTGTTCAGATGTTCTTGAGTTATTCTGCTGCTGATTTCATGACTGATCTGGTCAGGATCCAATTTGGTTGTGTTAAAACAATCAACTGTGTTAGGCTGTTGTAACCTATCAGATAGAGATCAGACATCTTTAAATTGTGTACCCTTGTACAAACTATTGTAGGCTCTTGAGGCTTCTCATGCTTATTGATAACCTTTGATAATGTCATGACCAGTTGGCATGGAGTTGATGCAGTACCAAGAATATTAACTCAATCACACACTCTTCTGAGCTGTCCTGATTAAAATAAGGTACAAATCTCAAAGGAGGTCTGTACTGAATTATAAAACCAACTTGATATGTCTCAAACCATTATTATACAAGGCATTTGTTATTTTTTACATTTTCTTTTCAAAGCTGTTTAGTTTGCCCTTTGGAAGCTTAGTGTGATCACACACAAACATTCTTTTGATCCATCTTCAAACTCATTTGAAATGACAATTCACCATGAGCTAGATAATAAGAGGTTGTACTTGAGAGAGTTTTCCCATTCCCCCCACCCCCAATTATCAAAAAAGATTTTCTTTTCCAACTTCTGAATCCCCTGAATTATTTTATGAAGCATACTATGCATTAAGTATGTCCATACCTTTAATTTTGATGTTGTTTTAAACAAAAGAAGAACATGCACAGAACTTGCACTATTAATTTCCAATCTTTTAATTCTTAAAAATTATATTCAATTTAAATCAGATCTTGTATATGGTGCATGGTCATGTAAGAACGAACAGTGGAATCAGCCAATGCACAAAGGTGATTTTTTGCAACTTATTCAAGACCTCTAATTGTGCACAATGTAGCCATGCACTGAAATGTGGAACACTCCCTCCACAAGTGTGTTAACACAATCCAGCGGCCAGATTGTCACCGTGACCAGCAGAACATATGGAAACTTCAGAGTCAGCTCTGCAATGTTTCCAACACTGCCTGGTGATACAGAAACACCAATTACTGGCAAACAAAACAATTGTGGAATGTCAAAATTCTATTTCAGGAAGTCCTGGCTGGATAGGGTCCAGATGTGGATTGCCAGAGGTCACTGTCAGGTCCAGACAGCAAAGCACCACCATTGCCCCGACAGGGGGGAATGGCGAGAGATCTCATGGCCCATCGGTAAAATCAGCCTACTCCAGTCGCTATCTGAATGGCTGCAGCTGCCAAATCAAGCATTTCTAATCACATAGTTTCTGTCCATCTTCCATCAGCAGGGCTGAATCTGCTGCTACAAGACCAAAGTCCATATTCATATCTGTTCCCCCTGCCGTCTCGGTACTGGTATCTCCTTCGGCTAAACAATGGAACTATGGAACCAACAAAAGTCAAGCTCTCTTTCATTTTGATGTCAGTCCAGTCAAAATGTGACCATACTCTGGTGCCAGCTTTACATGATATAGAAAGGGACAGAAATTCAAAAACGTTTTTCTCTGATTAGTTGTTTTCAGTTGGATTCTAGTTTCAACTAAAGAAGCCGAGGACACACAATGGATCTAACATTGGGACTATTTAGCTTGTGTGTCATAGTGACAGTTTGGTTGGGTTCAGTGGCACTTGCTGATACCGTGGGCGGCTGTGAAACGGTGGAGGTGCCGATGTGTAAAGGGCTGGTTGGATATAACTATACCAGACTCCCCAACCAGTTCAATCATAGAACACAGGCAGAAGTCTACTGGGCTCTGCAACCATGGTGGCCTTTCATGGATACTCTCTGTTCTTCCAATCTCAGGATTCTGCTCTGTGGGCTCTACTTGCCCAAGTGCACCCCAGGATCCCCAAGGGTTCAGTTGCCATGTCGAGAAACATGTCGCAAATCCAAGGTAAGGTGCTCGTCAGACATGCAGCGTCAAGGACGACCATGGCCACGGCAGTTCAGGTGTCCTCAGTTCTTGCCGAAGAGGACCAACCGCTGTATCAAACCAATCCCGGAAAAGAAAAAGAAGAGTCAACGTGGCCATGTTGCCTGTGAGCGTAACACTCTGTCCATGTGTTCTAGCATTGCACCCCCTTTCACCCATGGTTCCCTGCCAAACATGTTTCTTCAGGGCAGCCTTGATTTGATGGAGCTGGAGATGCAGCAGTACAAGCCGCTGATTCAGTCCGGATGTTCTCAGAACCTTCGCTTCTTCCTCTGTGGTGTCTTCATGCCCTTCTGTGTCCAGGAACGTATGCAGGAAATCCCTTTCCTCGTCCCATGCCGGGAATTGTGTCAAGGGGTGTATGATTCCTGTCACGAGGAATTTACCCGCACTCGAAGTGGTCTCCCCTGGCCAGGTAAGCTTCACTGCCATCGCTACCCGTCCTTTACGGATACATATGGAGACAACCGTACCATTCCGTGCACGATGTCACCTCAGTCAGGCAGACGCACAACATTGATCCAGCGACGAGCACAGGTACCTACTGGCAGACCTGCCAACCGCAGACAACCCAACAGACAGGGAAACAGACAGGGCAACAGACAGAACAGACAGGGAAACAGACAATCCAACAGACAGCCAAACAGACAATCTAGCAGACAGCCAAACCGACAATCTAGCAGATATGCAAACAGGCAAGCAAACAGACGAGCCTTGAGACCAAGGGAAAGAAGTCACATGAGAAATTGAGACAGACAATGTTTTGCAACTACTTCTTGAACGACATGAAGACAATTTCACCAACTGGACAAAATGAAGTGAACAAGCCACATAAGGAAACTCAAGTCTGTGTCAGTGACCATAACAGAAAATCATGGTATGTTGTGAAAATTTCAGATTGGTATTTGGGGATCAAGTATTCCCTGCTGATAACATGAACAAATGTCAAACAGCAGTCTAGGAAAAGCTACCTTGATAAAATCTTAAATGTTAGACTGTATCAGACAGTACACGATAACACATAGAAAAGTATTTTCTATGACAGCACAACAACTTTTGTCAGATCAAAATCACTATTATTAGCACCATCCTATATTTTATCTGTATCAAAACCTTTCCTCATATAGCACTAAAGCAAATGATACAGATAAAATGCATGCGTATTAACACAATTTATCCTGATAAATCTACAGGGAGAGCATGCACAATTTGTCCAATGTTTGGATACAATATTAAATGACCGCGAATGACACTGTGTTGAATAAGGAAGTCTGGAAGAGATATATAGGCTGGTGAAACTGAAAGTAGGTCAAACTACATTAGAGAAGTGACAGCATTTTCCTTGAGCAACAAGTGAAATATACAGTAATGAAGAGTGTAGTGAGATAAGGGAACCAGTTTGTGCAAAGGTATTGAATGTCATCCAGCACAAACATGGTTTTTTTCATCAGTAGAAGATTATTAGCTAAGGCCAAATGAATGTTTTACTAAACTTTGGCTTCGGGGTACTGACTCCCAGACAAGGAACCTCAGGTTTCGGAAGATGTTTTTGACAGTTACTGTAGATGCCTGTGTATTGAAATCACTTGAATAAACAAATCTTATCTAAGACTAATGGTTTCTCTCATCTGTAATGACAAATGCTAACTAGTCAATATTTGAGGATTTTGTTTTTCCACAAACTATAACTAACAGAGGTGCTGTAACTCTGACCTTGTACCACCAACCAGGAAGGTGAGCTTCAGCTGCTGTGGTATTCATGGCCCATCACGATTCCTACATGTCATAATTAGTAGGGCTGGGATGATACACCAACTGTGCGATCCGATATGTATCACGATGCTTACTCACGATCCGATATGTATCACGTTACTTGCATGTGCTCTTATCTGTGATGCACAAGCCATCTTTTTTATAGAAAGGATGGCTAAATATACCTGGCACACTGATGATTTACAGTTGGCAGTGTCAAGTATGGCGCAGTGATGAAAATGTTTTCACTATTAACTTGCACTACTGTTTAGTGTTTAGTGGAACAGTTATTAAAGCAAAGATTTAAGGTCAGGATTGATATTTTTTTACCTAGTGTGCGACTGTGATTGATACTTGTATCGAGAAGTACAAAAAATGGCGATCCACCGATGCATCAGTACATGTTTCCTACATGTCGTAATAAGTCCAGCAGATGGGCAATCAGATCAACATAGCGATGAAGCATGTTTTAAGCAGCATCTCACTCCCTGATCAGACCACTTCACTGAGGTCTTAATGACATAGGCTGCACAAAGGGCAGGTGTATCTACCTTCTAAACATGGTAGTCAAATAACATTAAAGAGGGGGTCTCCATCTAGGCTTACATTTACAGATAGTTTTCTTACGTTTGACAGTGAGATTGTTTTAGCTATCCCAATGGCTCAGAGTGAGATCGTTTTAGCTATCCCAATGGCTCACAGTGAGATTGATTTAGCTATCCCAATGGCTCACAGTGAGATTGTTTTAGCTATCCCAATGGCTCACAGTGAGATTGTTTTAGCTATCCCAATGGCTCAGAGTGAGATTGTTTTAGCTATCCCAATGGCTCAGAGTGAGATTGTTTTAGCTATCCCAAAGGCTCACAGTGAGATTGTTTTAGCTAACTCAATGGCTCACAGTGAGATTGATTTAGCTATCCTAGAGGCTCACAGTGAGATTGTTTTAGCTTACTCAATGCCTCACAGTGAGATTGTTTTAGCTATCTCAGAGGCTCACAGTGAGATTGTTTTAGCTATCCCAATGCCTCACAGTGAGATTGTTTTAGCTATCCCAGAGGCTCACAGTGAGATTGTTTTAGCTATCCCAATGGCTCACAGTGAGATTGATTTAGCTATCCCAGAGGCTCTTATCCACTGTGTCCTTAGGATAAAGACAACACTAGAAAACTAGAAAAGAGAAGCACATTGAATTGTGAAACTTAAAAATTAAGCTCCTTAACATGAAGCTGCACTTACTGAAGTTCCTGGGAAATATTGAATACTGATTGTGTGCCAAAATATCTCGGCAATCAGCCACATTCAAATCCAACCAGGACACTACAAATATCACTATCAAAAGTTGAGTCATATCTATATTATGATCTCAAGCTTAACATTGCATGAAGCTGAATAAATCCCTGAGCACAGTAGGACTGATAAAACATGACATTCACGGGATATGTATGCCCAGTGTGTGATGCTTGGCATCAACAGGTATAAATATGACTGATACAGGGACCATGGCTGCTATCAGGTGTGCTGCGATGTATACATCGTCAGTCAGGTGGGCTTGACATGCAGTCCGATATTAATCCATGCTCACAGAGACTTACACTCTTGCGAATACTTTCTGGTCAAGCAGGTATCAGAAATAAAGGACCAAGGGATCCATATTTCTCGGAAACTGTATTTTAATTCGCCCGTGACCCACACACGTCTTGAAATGTTAATGAATATTATTATCACAATATCTTCTTTGAAAGCCTTTTAGAAGTTGGAGTACGATGTAAGGATGTAAGAATGTAAGATATATGGATGAGTCACTTGCTTGATAACGTTGTTAGCACCTACACCGAAACATTGTTCCTAATTGTAATACAGAAGTTGTTCATCCATATATCTTCTCCTTAATTATCACAATATGTTTGGAAAAGAATGGTATATTGTGTTTTTCAAAATCATACATATTTTCATCTAGTTAAGTGACAGTTTGAAATGAAATTTTTAAATTCAGAAGTAAGCTACTTGATTTCTGTGATGGAAAAACGAACCAGTTTCCTGTATAGATATGATTATTATAAATCCCCACAAAGCATGCATCATAATGATTAAAACCAGCCACATTTGGAACCAAACACAGTCAATCATGCACACTGCAACAAAAGAAGTGCTCATGCATTCGGTTTGTTGCGGTCTCCATTGAAAATGTGGTGTTTTTTGTAAATATTATGATGCACACTTTATGGAGATTGTGTCGTTTGTCATTTGTGTGGCTATTTCTATTGAAATTGTGTACAACATATCCCCTAGTTTGGTTGCTCTGTGATAGTTTTCCTTGGTAGGCCTGCCATAGAGAGCCTCTTAACTTGTACTTTCACTGAACGAGTAACACTGAAAACAGGGTCCCCAATAGAGAGCCTCTTAACTTGTACTTTCACTGAACGAGTAACACTGACAACAGGGTCCCCATAGAGAGCCTCTTAACTTGTACTTTCACTGAATAAGTAACACTGACAACAGGGTCCCCCATAGAGAGCATCTTAACTTGTACTTTCACTGAATAAGTAACACTGACAACAGGGTCCCCCATAGAGAGCCTCTTAACTTGTACTTTCACTGAACGAGTAACACTGACAACAGGGTCCCCAATAGAGAGCCTCTTAACTTGTACTTTCACTGAATAAGTAACACTGACAACAGGGTCCCCCATAGAGAGCCTCTTAACCTGTACCTTCACTGAACGAGTAACACTGACAACAGGGTCCCCATAGAGAGCCTCTTAACTTGTACTTTCACTGAATGAGTAACACTGACAACAGGGTCCCCATAGAGAGCATCTTAACTTGTACTTTCACTGAATAAGTAACACTGACAACAGGGTCCCCCATAGAGAGCCTCTTAACCTGTACTTTCACTGAATCAGTAACACTGACAACAGGGTCCCCCATGAAGAGCCTCTTAACTGTACGTTCACTGAATCAGTAAGACAATGAAGGAGCATCAGTCAGACAGCCAGTATGTGTTGGAATCAAACAGGACTTTTCCAACACATACAAGATGTCTAAACACTAAAATCAACAAATTCATCGAAGATTGAACAAAAATCATATGACAAGTAGTAGAAGCACGAGTGATTCACTACCTTGGGAGAAATAGGAATCAATACAGCAATCTTCATGCACTTCACAGAACTTATTTCTAGAACAGACTGTCTGATGTAAGAGATGCCAGAATATTCCATAATTCATCCCTTGTGTCAGCAGGCAGACTCTACCCGACAGACTCCAGATGAAGCCTTCCTGTAGGGTCTCTGCCAAGGGTGCTCCTACCAGACTCTGAACGAACTCTGGTGTCTGTTTAAGTCTGTTTGTTGTTTAACGCTGCACTCAGCAAAATTCCAGCTATATGACAGCGGTCTGTAAAAACAATCGAGTCTGGACCAGGCAATCCAGTGATTGACATCATGAGCATTGATCCACGCAATTGGGATATGATGACATGTCTCAACAAAGTGAGCGATCCTGACCACCCGATCTCGTTAGTCGCCTTTTACTGCAAGCATGGGTTGCTGAAGACCCATTCTACCACGGATCTTCACTGGTCTGTGCGAGTTCTGGTCCAATTACAGTATCTCATGTATTAAGCACCCGAAAACACCCCCAGTGTTTGAAAACAAAACTTAAACTTTCCAGACAAATGTTAAACCCACGCCTAATTTTGCAAAAGTAAAAAGCAATTTAAAGTGCTGTACTTCCTTGAAACTATCCTCTCATGAACATATTTTTTAGTTTTGTAACAATTTCAAGAGTTCTGATTTACCTCAATTTACCATGACAACACATTGTGTTTTAACCTCACTGAAAACCAGTACACATACAACATGGTATTTCAGAAGTACACACCATGCATGCCACTCATCTTCAATTCATTACTACATATGTTGAGAAAACCATTTATTTTCAATTTTTCACAACACCCATGAAGATCTGGGTTAGAATTGGTCTTCAGCAACCCATACTAATTGTATGAGGCAACTAACAGGATCAGGTGGTCAGACTTATTGACTTGTTTGATGCATGTCATCGTATCCCTATTGTGTAGATCGATGCTCATGATGTCAATCACTAGCTTGTGGGGTACAAACTCGAAAATTTACAGATTATCATTAAAGAGCTGGACTAATGCTGAGTGCGGTGACAAACAAACAAACAAGTTTTCACTTGTCTTTGCCTACAGCTAACATACGGACGGCCCTGTACAACTCTGTAGTACTGACAGTCTTTTGATGAGATGTATTGTAAAAAGTATGTGATTTTAATTTGGTAAAATGATGATATAACTGTGATTGTTAGTGGCTGTACCTTCAAAGGGGGTTGAAGTAACGTAAACTAATTGTTCCCCTGAGAGCGTACGTAAGTCCCACTTCATTCAAAGTATGTTTCATTTCCATGGTTTTAATCGTAGATTTTTTGTTGTTTTTTAATGGTTTGGCTAAAACTTACTAACAATCACCAGTGGCCAGAGGGATGGTGTAATTCCTGCTAGGGTACCATGTAGGTAGCAGAAGTACCCTAAGTCCCCATGGTACCTTGTATGGTGACCTACCTTTGGTTATTGGTGATCTAAAGCCCATTTTTATTGTGAATTGTTGTGAATAGTTCAAATTTTATGATGATATGCCTGTTTTAAATCTACATCTGTGATAGTCTAGTGCTTTTACTGTCCTTTGTCGACAGATTTTAATGTCTATATGTATGTATTATTACTGTATAACTTGATTTAGTCACTATATGGCTGAAATATTGCCGATGTGACTTTAAATCTTAACTCACTCACTTTCTTCATATACAGAGGTCAGGCTAATTGGCTGGCTCAATATA